ACGATTAACTGATTTTTACCCTTCTTTAGGAGAACAACAATTAAAGAAAAATTAAAGAAACAAGAATACACGAACGAATTGCAACCAACATCTCAACATCTCTTAACAAAAAAAGTAAGGTATAATTATTCAAAAGATAATCATGTAGAAAAAGAAAATTAAATTCTGTGCTTTCCTTCTAGGTAAGTCATCATGCCGGTGAAAACCAGGCCAATGTGGAATCTAGAGAAGAAGAGAGTGATAAAGAATTTGAAAAAACTAAAAATTTAGAATTTTCTACGAAGAAAGTGGGAGTCCGGCCAAATCGACTTCTACAATCGATTTGGACCAAATACATTTTAAAACGTTTTTTTAAAACTATTTTTCAACAAGGGTCTTTTTTTTAACTTCGACAAGTATAACGCTTCGCGTCTCAATGGGTGGTGGTGCCCTATTTGTTTTTTTACATATGGTGGCCACGAGGCTAAATCATTAATGGAAGTTGGCGACACACTTTCATTCGTTGCCAAATATAAAGCTTAAAGAATAAAATATTGTTCTGAACAAAGTTTGACATTATTGACAAAGATTTTGATTGGCAACGGTAGTAAAATAAAATGATCAAAATAAGAGTATTGAATAAAAATTTTGATTGGCAATGGAAATACAATAAAATGCTCTCAATAAGAGTATTGAATAAAAATTTTGATTGGCAATGGTAGTAAAATAAAATGCTTTCAATAAGAGTATTGAATAAATTATTTGATTGGCAAAGGTAGTAAAATAAAATGCTCTCAATAAGAGTATTGAATAAAATTTTGATTGGCAGTGGCAGTAAAATAAGATGCTCTCGATAAGAGTATTGAATAACAGTTTGAACGAATCACTGTGAAATACCACAGGAACCCCAATTCCTTAAATCTGTTTATTGACTATCAGGTAAATCATGGACCCCAAGAAACCCACGTTCTACCAAATGCCAGACAGGCTGAAGAACCCCAGAAATAAGAAAGACAAAAAATTAAAGAAGATTTTAGATCGAATGAAGAAWATTCAACTTGAAGAATGTCGCCAACATGAAAAGGCGATGAAACGTATCAAGAAAGAAGCCAAAAAAGTTTTGAACGAGTGYAAATMTRAAGARCCCAAAAAACCTCGCAAGAAAAAGGGGAAATTTACCTTGGACTTTAATGTTTTGTAAAAAAGACACTACTTGGATATATATGTATAAAATAAAATGTTTTTTCAAAAAATAGAATCTTTTTTCAAAATAAAATGTTTTTCAAAAATAAAATGGCTTATTTGATGGTATCTCTTTTTTACCGATCGAAGTTCTGATKGGATCCYTGTGTTTTTTCTCATCAGGTGCCTCGTCTAKTGTAAACGAAGAGCAAGAAGCAGGAAGAAGAGAGACTTGTCTAAACAAAAGTAAGTGATGGAAGAACAACAACMTATAGAACATGATTTTCCTTGGTGGGGGGGATTGACCGAAAAAGAGAAAGCCAAGTAACGTAAGTTTCCTGCTTATATCCAATTACGCAATTACGTGGAATCGGACGGAGACGAGACTCAATTCTGCCTTCTCACTCGTCAGCCATCTTGGATTCAAGTCGAGGCTGACCGCGCATTTCTCAGGTTCCAAGATGGCGCACTGCTGTGTGCCATTTTGTAATAATGACTCACGTAAAAAGGACGAAAATATCTCCTTTCATGCATTTCCTAAATGCTACGAAAGACAAAGTAAATGGATCGCAAAAATAAGAAGAGAACCTGGGATAAATTTTAAGGTAAAATCGTCAAAGATTACATGAAAATTTGATAATTGTGCTGAACAGAGCTGTGAACATTCCCGGGAAACCTTATAAGTCTTAATCAAGTTTTTTCGTTTTACGATCGCAGATTGGAAAGCACACGGTCGTTTGCTCAGACCACTTTGTAAAAGACGACTTTAAACGGACTTTGACGAACAAAAGA